GGGGGAGGGAGAGGGGCGCAACAAATCGTTAGAAAGGTTTGTTTCTTTGAATAGTATTTGATTCACTTCACAATCGATACAACGTCGACACTTATTATGACCTAATTGTGTTGCAAGAGCCGGGGAAAAAATGGTAACTATAACCAAACGAATTATTATAAATTGAGAAAGGTTATTGCTGCACAATTACTCAATTACTGAAGCACATAAAAATAAACAAGAAGCTCATAGCAAGAGAAAGGTCGTTTCTAAAGACTGTTGAGGCTTAAAATGTGGCATGAAGAGAAACCAAATGAAGTAGTGTTGAAAAAAAGTCTGTTGGGGACTGTCGGTGACTATTTTTTGTATTGAAAAAGAAGCGAATGCAGTTCGTGGGACACTTAAAATCGATATTAAAGTAAAAGCCACAAAATGACGTTTTCGCTGAAAAAAAAAAAAAGGGCAAAGAAGGCAGACCTTGTGCATATAGCGCGGCCATCTGTAGGTCTATATCATGGTCAATTCTCTCTGTGATCTTGACTGACTGCTATAGACAATTTAGACAGTCGGCTTTTTGATTGTTTGATTGTTTGTTTGTTTGTTTGTTTGTTTGTTTGTTTGTTTGTTTGTTTGTTTAATTTGGGCTTTTTTGTTTGGGAGTTTCGGTGGGAGTATAAATTATTTTACCTTTATGTTCCTTTCCTTTTAAAAATTAAAAAAAGAATGTCCTGTTTATACCAACGGTTGTGTGACACTCACCATAGATATTTGTATTTCTTTTGATTTATTCGGCATGGCTATCATAAACCAAGACTTAAAGTCTGCTTCGACTATCAAGGTGAGATTGCGGGTTCGGGGGTTCGAGCTTCAGCTCGGTCCCACGTTGTGTCCTTTGGAAAGGCACATTACACCAACTTCCCACTTGGCTCGGTCCTATCGTAGACGGACGTTAAACTAGGAGGTCCCGTCCCTTAAATAACCTAATAGTGTTGATAGGGGCGTTAAACCCATACCATTTCAAAAAATGTTCACTATCAAGGCACCGCGGAAATAGCAGTTCACAAGAGAGGGACAAACATACAAAAATAGAGGAATAATGACGATAGTGAGAGCGAGGCAAGAAAAAGCAGCAGTTCCCCCTATGTTGTTCCGGCACAGCATGAGCATGACATTGATAAATCAGCCCATTTACAATTCTACTGTTGTACCTAAGAACATGTGATAATATCCCCTCTCTGGGAATGGCCTAAACACAACTTCAGTCAGCAGCACCGTCCTGAGGTGGGAAGGGGGGGGGGGGTAACCAAGACTTTGTTTATTTGTTCGTTTGTTTGTATCGAAAGAGGGGGGGGGTTATAAAATTAGAAACAAAGGCTAAGGCACGAGCATCCTCACTCACTTGTAGAAGTCCACGGCGTTGGTGATGGTGAGGTGGTACTCACGCCTGTATTTGTCGGCGAACTTATACAGTTGTGTGGCCGCTGTGAGGAGCTCTGAGGCGTAGGCTGGGTCTGGGGGAGAGAGACAGGAGCCGGTGTGAGGTTATCGTCGTCGTCGTCATCGTCGTCATTATCGTTATCATATCATTGGTGTTGAAAAAGGCAGCAGTTCGTTTTTAGTCAGTATAATACATTGATAACAAATTTATTTGTTATCGTCATCAACTTCGTCATCATTGTTGTTGAAAAAGGAAGCAGTATGTCAGGAATGGTTGGGGGGGAGTCTTGGTTCGTTTTCAGTTCAGTAAATATACATTGACAACAAATTCATTTGCTATCGTCGGCAACTTCGTCATCATTGTTGTTGAAAAAGGCAGCACTTCGTTTTTAGTCAGTATAATACATTGATAAAAAAGTTTATTTGTTATCGTCGTCATTATCGTTATCATTGTTGTTGAAAAAGGTCGCAGCAAAGAGGGAGAGTCTTGGTTGATTTTCAGTTCAGTAAATATAGACATGATAAAGCCCACGTGGGACGCTCAATGTAAAAAAAAAACAACCAGGAAACGACAAATACAGTTTTTGGGTCACCTGAATAGACATAAGGGTCTTGAACATCTAGCTCTCACTGGCAAAATTGAGGGCTAGCGAGGCAGGGGTAGGCCCAGAACAACATACTTAGGGAACCTGAACAAATGGGTAACAGGGAAAAATCAGGGAAACCTAGCTTTTTTTAGAGCATCCGAGCAAAGGAATGAATAGAAAACCATGATCGCCGATGTCTGTCCCAGATCTGGCACTGGATGATGATGAAATATAGACAGCAAATGCATGTGTTATCATCGCCATCTTCGTTATGCTATTAATTAATTATTATTCTTATTATCTAATTACCTACCGGTAGATTTGAACGCCAGCGATCCGGCTGCAAGGGCGGCCGCTGTCTCTCCGGCCAGGTCGCTGCCTCCGTTGTTTCTGTCCAGTTTGAAGGACGGTCTGCTCATCTGCATGTCTTCTGGTCGGCCCCAGGTGGAATGGTCAATGTGGCCGTCTCCTACCTGGGGGTGGGGTGTGTGGGAGTGGAGGGGGGAGGGGGTGGGATGTGTGTGTGGGG